CAAGCCGCGGTGGCTCATGCCTGTAATCCCAGCACTTTGGAAGGCCGAGGCAGGTGGAACACTTGAAGTTAGAAGTTCGAGACCAACGTGGCCAACATGGCAACCCCGTCTCTACTAAAAATACAAAAACTGGCCAGGCGTGGTGATGTGTATCTGTAATTCCAGCTACTGGGGAGGCTGAGACAGGAGAATCACTTGAACCCGGAGACAGAGGTTGCAGTGAGCTGAGATGGTGCCACTGCACTCCAGCCTGGGCAACAAGAGCAAAACTCCGTCTCAAAAAACAAAAACAAACAAAAAAACATACACGGAAACAGAGGCAGCACAGCCCATGACTACCTTGGGGATACATTTGGAAAAGAGAATGAGACAGACCAACAAATGAGTTCTCCTTGGAGCATGTTATTCAAATCTCAAAATAAGATACAGCTCTCATTTCAAGGTGCATTTATTTCAGTGAGGTTGGGATTTGTAAGGGAAACAAAATGAATACGTTGGTGTGTGGTGACGGGAATTAAAATAAGCAGCGACTTGCTGCCTGCCGACATGAGTATCCTCACATCCGCTGCCTTATTTTTTATTCCGTTCTGGTTTGTTTTCTCTTGTGGTGCTTTAAAATATGATAGCTAAGTTAGAAAGAGAGGCCAGAGTAATCCTGGCTTCTGTTCATTAATCTTGTATGACGTAAGTGCTGTTTTACCCACATTACCTCAGTGAATCCCTATGAAGTGGTGCTGTAATTAGCCCCACTGTACAGGTGAGACAACTGAGCCTGAGACAGATAAAATGCTCATGCTGAGTGACCCATCAGCAAGTGCTTGAGCCAAGATGTGGACTGAGTTGGTGGAGCTCAGAGCTGAGCTCAAATCGACTCTGCTCTAATATCTAGGGATGTGTGTAAGCCCCAGTCTCTCCATCCCAGATGGAGCAGGTCGGATCTCCAAGCTGCTGAGAGGTACTGGGACTCAGGAGACACCAGGCTAGCTCTGCATCCTTCTGGTCTTCCTGGCATCTCTAGAAACTGGAGGTGGGCAAGGAGGAGGGGGAAAGAGGAGCCAGGAGAACACACAGTCTTAAGTAAGACCTCTTCCCTCTCTTCCTGCCTGGAGTGAAGCCCCTTATGAGTAAGCACCGATGGAAGGATACCAACACAACACAGTGAAGCTAGCCCCGTCATTCCCTACCCAGGCCTCCCAACCCCCAATCATCAAGGGTAAGGACAGAGACAGAAGAGCAGAGGAAGAGTGTGGACATGAAGTCAGACCACATCTTGGGGAATACACCCCTCTCGCCACTCCCAGGCGATGTGGCCTTGGATGAGATAGTTAATCTCTCTGAGCCTCAATTTCCTCATCTGTAAATGGGGTAATGACAAGTCCTGCTTCATAGGTTTGCTCTGAGAATTGAGTGAGTCCATGTATGTATGTGAGGGGCCTCTCAGAGTGCCCATCACATTGTAGAAGCTGAATACATGTTAGTGTCTCTATAAGTACACTGCTGTATGCTCTAGGATGATCTGTGCAATAACTATATTCTATACTATATAACATGCAATCATATGCTGACAACTGAAAACTAAACTTGGTGTAGGGAGCATTCTGGGAAAGGTAAGGGCAGGGACCCTGCACTCACTCTGTTTTTTATCTCCACAGGGCCAGCTACTGCACAGCGCTGTACCCTCAGCAGGGCCAGGAAAGTTTGTGCAGGAGGCCTGGGATAGACTTCAGTTCCCTGCATCATATCCCAAACCTTAGCCAGAAAAGGCAGCACCCTTCCACTTTCTGGGAGAAGGGCAGCCATGCCTGAAACACCCCTATTTAATGGGATTATTTCTTCTCCTTCATAAGTCATATCTCATGGGAATATTCATTTTCTCTCTGGCAGCTCATCAGCTCATTGGTACAATAATTGTTTCACAATATAATAACCCATGTATTAAATCAGATGAGAACCTCCTTGAAATATTATTGTACTGAACTCTTCCATCACAGGGAGATCAGTTTTAGATCTCACCCAAGGAGTTTTTGTTACCAAAGAACCAAAAGCACTTCATTAAAGGTGCTTTCTCCTACAAGAGGAGAGAGGCTATTTTTTATTTTTCTTCTTCTTATTTCATAGACCATAAGGTTATTGTTCTACGAGTTCAATTTCAATAGCACTTACGCAGTTCCTGACCATACCGTATCATTTACTTCCTTATTAGAGTTAGTGTTTCCTGCTTTGCCAACACTGCAATAGAGGACGGTAGGAGGACAGGACTCTATTTCTTCACTGTTGTTTCCCAATCATCAGGAATGGTGCCTGGCATATAGTAGATGCTCACTAAACATGAATATACAAATGGAAGCACATTTAGAGCACCTTTCTTTTGGAAAGCAACCACAGTCAATACAAAGATGTATCTCATTAGAAATTCATTTCAACCTCTTTTATTTCCTGTTCAATTATTTTTCCCCCATTCTCTGTTTGTGCCAATAGATTTTTTTATGAGATCAGAATGTATCTCCAAAAATCAAAATTAAATCATCCACAAGAAGACCACAGCTTTCAAAGCATACCAGAACTCCCGGCCCTAAAATGCTTTAGGGAACATGGCACTCACAACAAGGAGGCTCAGCTCCAATAACTTTCCTGGGGCACGCTCTGCTCACTGCAGGGGAGGATGTCTCCACCACAGTCACAAGGGAGCCCTTCCACCGCTAAGGCGCACGGGGGACCAAGAGAGAATGGACACTGGCAGAGAGTGCAGATTAATGAAGTGTGAGGACAGAAAGTAATTTCCTTTAAACTCCCATTCCTCGGATGGGAAAACTGAGGATCCAGAAAAGCAAAGGGGTTGTTCGAGTGCACAGGGTAATTACGCACTGCCAAGTGAAGAAGGCAGATCCCGCCTCTCCCCTCGTCCACTGATTTCCCTGTGTGTGCATGGATATGTGTTTGAACTCGCAGCAACAGGATGTTTTAAAAGGAGTCCCAGTTAACAACTCATCCATAATTTCGACTCAGGGATGCTGCTGATAGAATTTTACTAGCTTCCCTGTCCACCCCAATGATCAAGATCCCAAATTTCCCATTAATGACTCAAAAGCCTTAAAGACTTTCTGAGCTAACAGATTCTTAGAGATCATCTATCCAAATCTTTATCTTATCGATGAAAAACAAGGGGCTGAGTGAAGAAAAGTGAGCTCCCAGGTCACAAAGCCAGCTAACAGTGAAGCTGCAGTGGCTGGAGCCGCTAGCGCCGAGGCACATGTAAGTTACACTGAGGACACGTCTCAGATTTGCGTGTAGCTCTACCAGCCTCATCAGGATAAGCAGAAAATAAGGAGGAATCAGGATACCGTAAGCAAAAACCCAGTCTAAACAAGCATATCTCAGGTCCAGAATGAAAACTTTTCCTTAGAGCAAGAGAATATAATTCTAATGAGAAAAGTAGTAGCAAAAGAAATATTTTTAGGATGTGGACACATACACACATGCACACATGCAGACGTGTGTATGTGCATATAATACAGAGATTACCACACATACTACATTCGGACGATGCTTAGATTTTAAAAATACTTGATAGTAGGTATGTAATAAATTTACAGTGCTAGCAATGGCATCAAAATGGATTGCTAGTGGAAGCTTATCTTGACATAACATTTTTTAAAGTTATCCATCAATGTCTGCACAAAAGAAAATACACATGTTCTTTGAGCCAGCAATCCCCCTTCCAGGAACATGGAACTATTGATAGGTATAGAATTATACAAATATATGGATAACGTGTTTATTAAACCATTGTTTCTAGCAGCAATAAAAGGAAAAGTAAAACATTCAGGTAGTCTATCATTAGGGTTATATACTGAATAGACTGTGATACAAACAAATTATGGAATTTTATGCAACTGTTATAAAATGAGTTATCACAGAGCTGAAGTGATGTCCATCATGATGAGTTAGAAAGCCAAATTGTGGTGCAGTGTCATTATTTGACACAATTTCTCAATACAACACCACCATCTCTAAAATACTATGATGCATGCACATCCATGTTTGTTGTGGTGGAATGAGCATGAAAAGAAGATGTGAAGGCCTGGAAACCCTTGGTGTCTAAAGGAGTGACAGATGCAAGGGGGAAAAATGATGAATGGGTTCTTCACATATCTTTGTTTTCACTGATTACAATGCATGCATATGACTTTTTAAATAATTAACCTAAGCCAAAAATCCTAAAAATAAAGATAGAAGAAACCCACAGACAGTCCTTCAGGCTCTGTTTAGCCACCCTTCTTCCGTAGTAGACCCAATAATAGCAGGAATACTCTGAATTAAGAGGAAAAAATGAAATCAACACAGCAATGAGAAACTTGAAGTTGTCTCTCTAAGCCCTGGGATGCCATGACTATCTGGTCAAGTTACTTTCCCCACTAAAGTGTTCTAATCCTGGTCTGGGAAGTTCCCTGTACAGCACAGCCCAGCAACACTCTCTTCTTAACACAGAAAGGACCTCAGTCTCCTGTAAGGTAAGAGATGACTCAAGAAGCTTCATCACTCCCTGCCCTCCAAAGAACCTTGTACCTATAAATAGATCATGCAGAACCCACTTTTCGGAAGAAGACCAATGCTAACTTTGGCAGGCAGGCCTCTGGGGTGCCTGAGCCAGCCACTTGGAATGTTGGCTTTACCCTCATGGGCTTCTTAATCCAGTCCTAAGGTCCTGAATGGAAAGTGACAGAACCATGAACATAAAGGCCCTGGCTGTGACAGTGGTGACCACTGGGTTTTAACAATGATAAAACTGTTATTACCTGAAGCGTGAACTGTGCCAACCCTTCGGGGCTAGTGCTCCAAAGAGAGCTGCCACCATCAAGCTTCTAAAACTCCAAGAGTGTTGTTTGCATTAATATATACAACGTTCTCTGTAGGGAGACAGCCCTCTGGTCCACTGCAAATTCTGTCCTTCAGCCATGACCCAGGATCCAGGAAGGAGATGGAAAGAAAGGCTGACTTACCAAGCCAACTTCTGTTTAAGTACACAGACACAAACACGGGGGGCACTGTGAAGAAATCCACTACAGAATTCACTTCCAGCCAGAACCACAGCTTATCGTTGGCTGCAATAAACTGGGGGAAAGAAGAAACGAGAAAGAGAAAAAAAAAACATGAGGAGCATGGTGCCAGCATTCAACGCACATTCTTGTTGTCAAAGAGTAAGTTGTGACTTTCAAGGGGGTCTGGAGGAACAGGTTATGTCCTTCTCATGTCTATACAAAGCACATGCTTTTATGGTCAGATACACAAGTTTTCTAGTGCCCCAGATAGAGCCCTATATAGACTAACTATATGCTATGTTAGTCTTAGAGAAAGATCAGGTTTATTTTTCTGTGGTTTCCAACCACTTCATAGGGAAGATTGGGTGATTTTACCTTTATTAGACTCATTCATGTAAATATAACTGTGAATAAAGCACATATGTATGCATTTACACACACACATGCGCGTACAATTCTATCTACTCTTCACCCCTTTCATGCACACTCACAACTACTCTCCCAGGGCTCAGCTAAGTGAACGCTGCTAAACATAATTTTAAGAGCTGAAGAGGTTTTTTTCTATTTAATTTTGTTCTGTTTTGTTTTATTTTTTTGAGATGGAGTCTCACTCTGTGGCGCAGGCTGGAATGCAATGGCATGATCTCAACTAACTGCAACCTCCGCCTCCTGGGTTCAAGCAGTTCTCCTGCCTCGGCTTCCTGAGTAGTTGGGATTACAGACATGCACCACCATGCCTGGCTAATTTTTGTATTTTTAGTAGAGATGAGATTTCAAAATGTTGGTCAGGCTGGACTCGAACTCCTGACCTCAGGTGATCTACCCACCTCAGCCTCACAAACTGTTGGGATTACAGGCATGAGCCACTGTGCCCGGCCTATTTCTATTTAATTTTTAAGGGAACATGGCATTGTGTGAATAGAGAGATGAGAAACAATCTACCATTTTTTTTCAATCCCAATTTCTCCTCCTTGAAACAAAACTGACGTGAATTCCAGAAAATGCTTAGCTAAGGAGAGGGCTCTCTCCCAGACTGAAAATCAGAATGCAGGTGTGCTGTCTCTCCTGGAAACACTGGGTTTTATCCTGACTGTGAGAGCAGATGCTGATAGGGATGACCCCTGGGTCCCAGACTGAAACACCCCATGTGATACTGAACAATGTTGCACAAACTTACCCGCAAACCAAAGTAGAGAAGGAAGAACACGTTGAAAGCCATGTCGATCTGTAATGTGAAATCTTTGTAGAAATTCTGGCAGGATTCTATTGGGCTATTAGACAGGAAGAAGAAAAAGCGAGTGGTAAATGACAAGCAGTATCATCCAGTTTCCCACGATGCTAAGAAGTGGCAGTGCTCAGGGTAGACGATGAAATGAATATTCATAAAAGAAAACATTTGGTCTTTCTGCCTCCTGAGATCATCAAGCAAGCATTGCCAAGGGGTCTTTCCATTCAACCATTCAAGAACTACTATTCTTTTATTTGTTGTTTTGGGAATTATGATACGTCTATCATTTTTTATCATCATTCAGCAGTTGAACTAAGAATCTAAAGAGGACCATGCAGATACCTTGAAGGAAGGACAAGCAGGAGAGGCCTCTAAATTCTTTAATTTCATATTAACCCTTAAAGAACTGATTTCTTTCTTTGAGAGGATCCATACCAAAGCTAACACACAGTTCCTCTTGCCCTCCAACACATCGGAAGTGAGGCCCGTTTTCAATTAAACACAGTGGTTGTATTTTGGACCTTACAAAAACCATTAGTTGATTAATAAATACAGGGCCCAGGAGCATCTCAAAAAAGCTAAAGAGGAGAGGATCCTGGGTGATGTTCTGGTTAGATTAAGCATGGACTTTCTGTGCAGGACTTGGATCTGGGAAAAGAAGCGTTGTCCAACGGGTCAAATTCAGACCACCAAACCAAAATGTTGAAGCAGTACTCTAAGGGTTAATTTTTTTTTTTTTTTGCATGCATGCATGCATGCATGGTAATTGACTTGGTGTATGTGTGTTGAGCAGCCAATGCGAATCCCCAGCACACTCGACTTCAAGAGTCGCCAGTTCAAAAGGGTACTACTATACAAACTGGTTCAAGACTTCTGTGTGCTTTCCTATGTCAAATTGATCAGAGGATCAGTGCGTGGAAAGTCCCAAGGTTTGGGCTGGGTGGGAAGCAGGGAAGCTTCATAAACATCTCAAAGCTGTGAATGGAAATCCATATCATATACTGTGATCAATAGGTAAATAGTAACACCCAAGCCAGGAACGTGAAGGTGAGGTGAGGGAAAGGAGATAGAATACCAAGAAAAGCAGAACACTTTCCCCAAAGGGAAGCAACATAGACCTCCTCCCTCCAGGAGAGGGCCAGCTTGAGAAATGCAAGATGAAGGGATTTCCGTGTAGTACCACTTTGGAAATCAGTGATGCAATACCAGTTAGTATAGCTGCACTTCTGCAAGGACAATGCTTGGCTGTTCAACAGGCAAGAATCTGCACAGTAGAGGAACTCAGGGCCCACTCGGAGGCAGGGTGAGTCAGTCTGTGGGAATCTCTGATCATGTTCCATGCACTGGTTTTACCCATTCTTCATCCCTATTACAAGTCAAACATGCCCTGTGTCATCTCCCAAATCCGTGGAAAAGTCTCCAGACAAGCATTAAGAGTAACCTATATTTGCATTCACAAACTAGGCAAACTGAATAAAAAATAACACTGAAAAAGTTCTTTAAAAAAAAAAAATGCCAGGTTTTCACTAAGGTAGGGAAGTGGGTAGAAAGACAGCATGGAATTTGGTTAGTCCAATGCTGAAAGGAGACACAAGCAAGGAAGCCAACATCACAGCCTGCTGCGGCCCTAGGCCTCCTCTCCCACACAGGTACTAATTTAGATGCAAAAGGGAAAATCCAGGCTACAGTGAATCGGTGACACTTCTGCAATTCTCAGACCAAACAAGACCCAAAGGTCCATGGGTGTCAGAGTTTCCAGCCACTCTAGTTGCAGTGAAAAATGTACATGAACTAGGTTGACCAGAAATCCTATAGATTCCAGGTTGAAGAGGTAATGCATCTCCATGCCACGCAAGCCACAGGCAGGACACGTTACTAAAGAATAAATGCGTGTGTGTGTGCGTGTGTGTAAGAGAATAAGCAGCAAGGATGGGGAGATCTGTAGGTAACTGCTGTACTCAGGTGCTCATTTGTGCCAGTGGAGACTCACTTAGCTGTGATTTATAAATTCATATTCATCAAGATTGATGTATACTCAGTCAAGGGGACAGAAAAAAACACTTGGTTCCCAAGACTATCGTAGAAAACTTACTATTGCTTCACCAAGGCCAAAACGTTACTGTTGCCCTCACAGTCATTATGGGTGGAGTTATTGGTGGCATATCTGAGGCCATCGTGAGTTCCCTAGCTCCTACTAATCCTGTGGTTTCTGTAGTTAATTTGGTGGTAACTTAGAAATACATCTAATTGGAAAAGTATTTGTTAGGCTACGGTAGAAAATGGAATAGTTGGGGCAGAGATGTGAGCTGAATGCTACAGAGGACATTGGGATTCAACATAAATGGAAACAGGTATTGAGAAGAGAACAAGGAATCGGCTGCAGCGACTTCGCCACTGTTTCTTGCCTTCCTGGTCCTTTGTGTTGTCCCTTCTCATATTGCTCATGTTCAATGGCAATAATGAGAGGGCTTGAAGCTAGAGGATGTGGTGTAGAAAACTGCACCTTAACAACACCCCATAAAACAACATGGTTTACAGAAAACCATGTTGAAGCCATATGGGACCTTTTCTCCAGTCCTTACAAAAAATTTAGAACTGATTTCATTATTGTTTCATGATTATTCCGTGAGTACTAAACTTGGAGATGAAATACTAAAGGAAGTAAATGATGCTGCTGGTGTGGGTGGCTTTTCGTCTGGCTGAAGCTGGCAGGTAATATGAGCACACCCCAGTAATATGAGGGGGCAGGGGACGGGCAGAGAAGCAGGAAACTCTGGGACAAAAGACCCAGGTAGGATGAGTGATCGGGCAATGTATTTTCTATCCCTTTTAGCTATTTCCTGCTTGCCACTAGAGCCCCAGGAGAAATGCTCTGCCTGCTTTTTCAAGTGGCAGCAGAACTGTTTATCAGATCCCCTCTGAGATAAGTCCTCTGAGTGCCTATAGTTCACGGACTCGCACCATCAGACACCACAGAGTGGAGCTTCCAAAGCGCCATTATTTCATTCCCCAAATGGAAATAATCCATGGAGAAGTTCATTGAACCTTTAAAAAGAGAATACATAATTCAACGACAAAAGAGTTGGCCATATCTACCAGTATTTATTTTCCTCCCAAAGAGACTGTATCTTAATGATTGATGCTCTTTGCGGGATGGAGAATGAAATACAAATGCTTCTCCTTTCTTGTGTGAAGTAGAAGGAGTTTCCTTGTCTAGATACACAGAATTTCAAAAGCTAGCAAAGAAATAGTGCAAAAAACGAAAACAAAAGTACTCAGGAGAGTGACTCTGGATCACACACAAACTTAGATTTCTAGTCTGATGAGGCACATCCACTTCAGAAGGCTTTGCATGGGCATCTGTTGCTAACAGAAAAAAGGTGGAGTTTGATGAACTGAAATAACACTACTTCCGCCTCCGGTAGTAGAAAACTGACTTACCCTAAACTGCTATGGGTTAACTAACCGCTTGATAATTAGAGCGTTCGAGATACTTGGTAAGTGGCAGACTTTTCATTCCTAGGCTCCCATAGTCCATGAAACAAGTGTGATACTAAAACTATAGGCAAATTTAGCATTTTGACCAGGACTCCATGACTGGGCACCTTCAAAAGAGCCTCAGTAAAGAGATGCTTCTTATGGGGTATGCGTTCAGTTGTAGGATAGAGGTTGAAATACAAACTCCTGTTTCCTCTTGGCCATCAAGTAAGTAAATCCTCAGCATTTAGATGTCTCTATGGAGGAAAATGAGACTCAGCCAAAGAGGGAAATGTTTCTCTTTCCTCATCTACTTAGTAATAGAATTTTCAAAAAGACCCTTGAGAAGGAAGATCCAACAGATCTTCCTGAAGACTGACTTCAGAACTTGTCTTTCCAGAGCACAAGGCAAGTGAGGGCTATCCAGGTTTTCTTTCAGAGGGCAGGAGCTCTAAACATAAAATCTCACTGCTAGCAGTGGTTGCTCTGGGCAACCACTCATCTCCAAGAGGGAAGGATTACCCCTCCCTGCAGCCTCTAAATGTCCCTGGGTTTTCTGCAGTCTGTTTTCCAACCTTCCTGAGTCTGGCTGCCAAACCCTCTGAAGCTATTTCTCCAGGGTAATGGTTCTCAAACTTTGGCATGTGGTTGGAGGGCTTGTTAGAATCTTGCTGTGCTCCATCCCCAGTTTCTGATTTAGTAGGTTTGGGGTAGGAGTCCCAGATTTTGCATTTCTGACAATTTCCCAGCTCATGCAGATGCTGCTCATCTGAGAATGCCACTTTGAGACCCGCCACTCCCAAAAACCTTTCTTGCAACTACACACTAATTATAGGTATTGCTGCTGGAGAAGATTCTCATTCAGACCTGAACAGAGATAATTCAGTATTTGAGCCTGACCCCAGATAACTAGCTGCATACCACTTAACTAATTGCTGGGATCAAGAGGTTGAACAGACATTTTCTGTTTCAGATGTGAACAACAGGGTAAAAAAATTAAAAAGATACAGGAAAGTAATTGCAATGCCACTGTGCAAGCTTCACCAGTGGACATTCCAATTAATAATCAGAGGGTACCTGCTGAGCACATTTTAGATTAAGATTAAAAGGAAAAATAATGAAGTACAGATGGGGAGGGGTTACAGAGACCATCATTAAGAAGGGATAAAGAAATGGTAAATAGCTTAAGAATAACAACAACAATAACACACACCCAGGATGATTTAATAGGGAAGGGGCTGACTGAGGAACAAAATAGCATTTTGTGAAATAATTTCCAACATTCAAATTCTCCTCACTCTTGTGGCTAGTCCCTTTTTAAATTGAATGGGGCCCTCTCAATTCCCATCAGGATTATGGACAGGCAGAGTTCAGGCCCACAGTGCCACAGACATGAGTCAATGTAATAAGCCTAATGATTCTAGACTCTTCTAGTCTCACCTCTATAATGTTGCCAGATTAATTTAATTAAAAGATGTTATTCATCCACCATCACGGTCCCCTCCTGTCTCATACATTAGCTCTAAGCCTGGCCAAGAAGAACTTCCAAAACCTAAACTCATCCTA